GCATATACTATCTCTGAGGCTTAAGGCAAGTCATTTCACCACCGTGGGCCTCAGCTGCTCACCTATAAAATGAAATAAGCCTCTGAGGTCTCTTGGAGTTCGCAATTTATGATTTATCACCCTCTCCCCACCCCCCTTTTTTCTCTCATGGCAAAAGGCAAAACTAAATCTATTAAAATAAATTTAACAATAACAAGGAAAGGTTTACAGCTTACAAGTTTACAAATGTCTTATTACATAAAAAATAACAAACCACAAGATAAATAGAAACAAGATTTCTTTATTCTTTCCATTTAAATTCAGTTTAAGCAACATAATACTTTGAAATATGTGTTGTGGATTTTTTTTTGGGGGAAGTTTTTAATAATTTCAATATTATTTTTTTTGAAAATTTCAACATCATTTAAAATATTATCCATGTAGATCTTGTAATATCATTTAACTGCTGGAAACATGCTATATATCTGCAGCTTCTAAGTATCTTTAATATCTATTCAGGGCAGGATGCCCATAATTGGAGGATCTGGGGCAGGAGACTGCTTGAATGATTGACCCAATGGATCCAGTCAACCAAACAAAAGCAATTTAAGCTCATCACTCAAGATAAAGTATGTGTACTCTATTTCAAATTTAGGCGCATCAGCATCAATCGAATGCAGTGAAGTATGCCCAATTTAATACTAATTGGGGGGTAAATTTAGATTTCCCTAGATACTTCTCCCTTCTCTAGCTATTTATCTGCTTTTATAAAAACAGTTTCTAGGGCAGAAAACCACTCAAAGCACTTACCAGTTTAGTTACTCTAGCAAAAAAGAGATGAAAAAAATTTAAAAGACAGTTATTGGGCCAGTAATACTGACAATTCATGTTGATTTAAGGGTTTGCTTAGACAGTAGATAGATTGTTTTCTCTTTCTTTTGCCTACATGATCAGCCATTGGCTTCTCATTAGGATCTCTAGCCCCAAGTAGATAAAACAACTTCAATAAAAATCATTTTGCTACTTGTCAGGAACTCTAATATAACAAAAAGTAACATTAAGTTATTGGCTCTTTCATACATTTCTGTGTACTATAGTTAATTCCAAAAAAACACCCAGATTTTCCCATTTTCCCATTCTTGCCTTCCACTTTGTCAGGAAGAAAACTTCCTAACACTTTGAATTGGTCAAAGGTTGAGTAGGCTGTCTTGAGCGGTGGTGGCTTCCCCCTCCTTGGAGATCTTCAAGAAGAAACTAGAAAACCACCCATTAGGAATATTATTGTGTGGAATATTGTTTAAATGAGGTGGCTACTAAGGTACTTTTCAACTCTCAAAATCTGTGATTATGAAAATAAAAGTTTTCACTTAAGAGGGAGATTGCTGATATCTCTTTTGAGCCTGACAAATTTCTTCAGCCTATTCTTTCTATGTCCCTTTCCCATTACCTTTCCCTTCCTTCTGTTCTTCTTTCATTCATTCATTTGTGTCAGCTTATTAGGAGGATATTACATGCAATAAGGGGCGAAAAGAATATAAATTAGACAAGGAGGTAAAACATGTACAATGTGTTTAGTAAGTGCTTATTAAGTACTTGCTGCCTGAACGGTGAGAAAAATTCAGGATAAATTCAACATCAGAGAACTACCTGTATCCTTTAGTCATTCAGTCATGTCTGACTCTTGATGTTTGGGGATTTTATTGGCAAAGACACTAGACTGGTTTGCAATTCCAAGGTCACATAGCTAATAAGTATCTGGTTTAAATCCAGTAGGATGAGTCTTCCTAACTTCAGGCCCAGCACTTTAGACATTGGGCCACCTAGCTGCCTCATCAGAAGACTAGTTTTTTACAAATGGAAACAAACAAACAAACAAACACACACTAAGCTCAAAAGAGATTAAATGACTTTTTCTGGGTAACGCTGGTAATAAATATTGCAGCCAGGACTTAGACACAGCATCTCTGACTGCAAATCTAGTGAGTGGTATAGATTAGCCTCATAGGGATTTTTTTTTTTTTTTTGGCTAGGCAATGGGGTTAAGTAACTTGCCCAGGGTCACACAACTAGGAAGTGTTATGTGTCTGAGGTCAGATTTGAACTCAGGTCCTCCTGACTTCAGGGCCAGTGCTTTATCCACTGTACTATCTAGCTGCCCCACTAGGTAGGGAGTACAGAATACAAGTTGGGTCTAGTATCAGATAGGTTGAAAGGCTGAAATAGGAACTAGATTTTGGAGGGCCTTGAATGCCTTTCTAAGGTGTTTGGAAGATGAATCCTTTGGGGAGCTCCTAACTATAACTGCCTAAACACATTTAGTAGAACGGTGATAAAGAAGTATAACATGTACAAATTCTTAAAAAATGTAAAATATATTGCATACTGCAATTAAATTTGGCTTGTTTCTGGGAAAAGGGAACACTTGTCATACTCTGCCTCTTCCCAAATGACAAACAACCAAATGATTCTCATAGTGCCTTAAAATATATAACATAAATTTGCTAGCTCATTTATCCATACATATCCACAGATATGTATTATAGATATATGTAATATATATTTATCCACACATAGCCATACATATCTACACATGTATGAATATGAATATACATATATATATATTCCTGTTGTACATGTGAATACATGTCATTGCTTTGTATGTGTATTTACACACACACACACACACACACACACACCCTTGTCTTCCTAGTTAAATTATAAGCTCTTTGAGAGTAAAGATTATTCCATTCTTTGTCTTTCTATCTCCAGTGCTTAGCACAATACAAGACACATAATAAGTGCTTAATAAATGCTTGCTGATTAACAGATTAACATTAATTAAGCCTTTTCTAAATCTCTTTAGATAACTATTCTAGTAGAATTTCAAATTGCCTAATTAACTCACAAATAGATTTCATGGGATCACTGTACTGTATTATCCATTTCATTGTCATGGACAAAAAATTCATTAATTAAAAGTCATACTTTATACCCTCAGATTTTATTAGTCTGGTCCATGAATAAAGGACACAGTCTGTTTACATTTTGGGATGTTTTAAAGCTCTCCTTTAGCTCTTTAAATAGCTAAAATAGAGAAAGGACATCAGTGTTTGGTATCTTATCCTGCCAGGTGATCTTCAGAATCTTCCTAAGATAATTCAAATGGAAGTGATTTGGCTGTAGTCTTTTCAAGCTGAAGAATTTACCATCAGTGCTGTAGCTGACTCTGATGGCGTGTTCATTCTCATTGAAGGCATCTGACAACACGGCTGAAAGCATCATACTAAAAAACATGGGAGCAAGCACACAGCTTTGTTCCATTCCATTGGTGACTGGGAAAGGGCAAGAGCATTGTCCATTATACATAACCTAGGTAAGCTTGCTGTCATGAAATTGACATATGATACTGATGACCTTCCCTGGGCAACCACATTTTGACATAATTTTCCATGAGCCCTCACAAATGATGGCATTGGTCAGATCTACAAACAATGCATACAGACTTTTGTTCTGCTCTTGGCATTTCTTCTGGAGGTATTGGGCAGTGAATATCATATCGACCTTTCCTCTACCCTTTCTGAAGTCACACTGGCTCTCTGGTAGAAGACCATCTTCCATGTGAAGGATCAGCCTATTAAGGAGAACTCTGGAAAGAATCTTGCCAGCATTGACTAACAGAGAAACCCCTGTGATTGTCATAGGGCACATCCTTTACCTTTATAGAGATGGACAATGGAGGTATGTCTGAACTTCTAGGGGATAACCTCCTTTGCCATATAACCCAGAAAATTTCTGTCAGCTGTTGTATGAGCGATGGACCCCCTACCTTGTAAATCTCAGCTGGAATAGAATCAGCACCAGCTGCTTTGTCACCCAAAAGAAGCTTAATGGAATTCAAAACCTCTTCCTCAGTTGGAAGTTCAGTTAGGGTGGGATTGACTTGAACCTGAAGTAAATGATTAATGGCTTCAGCATTGATTGATGATGGTCTGTTGAGGACATTATGGAAGTGTTCAGCCAATCTCTGCAGGATCATGTCCTTATAACTAATCAATGTGCCTCCATCAGCACTAAGTAGTTGAGATGTACCATAGGTCTTTGGCCCATAAATAGCCTTCAGGGCATCCTAAAAGCATGCTGGACTGTTACTATCAGCATAAAACTGAATTTCATCTGCCTTCTTACTCAGCCAAGAATCCCGCATCTCTTTAAGTATCGCTTGTACTTTACTTTTGATGGAATTAAATGCTGCTTTCTTAAAGATGGATGAACTATCCTGCTGATAAACCCCTACAGAGTTCTTGTTTTTCATTTAGCAGCTTCTGAATTTCCCCATTATTTCTGTGAAACTGATCTTGATGTTTGCAGGTGTTCTGACCTAGCTAAGCAAATTCAGTGATGTACGACAAATATCTGAAAGCTGTGCATTCCTTCGTAAACCTTAAATGCTATATCAATTCTGGCTAGCTAGTACTACTAGTAGTATTTTATCCATGGCATACCAGGATTGGCTAAAGGAAATGGGGATATTTAGCTCAGGGAAGACTGATATAATAGCTGCCTTCAAGTATTTGAAGAGCATCAGCTGGAAGACTTGTGCTTCATTTTAGATGACAAAAGTAAGGGCAACAGGTGGAAAGTACAGAAAAGCTGGTTTAGATTTAATGTAAGAAAAATTCTTTTTGAACAATGAGAGATATAAATAAGTTGAATGTTGTGATTCAGGAAAGCTTATCTATTTTAAGAAAGGTCGTTTAAGCAAAAATTGGTTGGAAATGGTTTAGAGAGAATTTTTTTGAGGAATAGCTTGGACTATATAGCAGCTGAATTCCATTTCAGATTTAAAATCCTATGATTCCTTGATAATCCTTTGGCATTAGCTCAGAAGTAGAATACTAGCAGATTTTCATAATACAAAGGAGAACAAAACTACAAAGCCCATGTTATAGCCTCTGGTTTTTGTTTATCATTTTAGAGAGAGAAATTCAAACAGGAAAACAACAACAACAAAACACACTCACTTTCATAGTGAATGAGAAATCCAACACTTGAGCGACTGTTGTCAGTAGTGAATAGTAGGTACATGTAGTTGCCAGTACTGATCAAGAACTGTGGTGCTTGAGTCCCGTGGTATTCTCCTATCAGAGGTGATGAATTAGCTGGTCCATCTCGAACTTCTAAGGTGTCATAATTGACTTCTGTCTGAAATCTGAAAATATGAAAACAAATATCAGTGAGAAGCAGAGGAAGCTTATGACAGTGAGGCAGTCTAGTATAGGGAAAGTTCCCTGGACCAGGAGTCAGGAGCCCTGGGTTCTAAGTTTGACTCTGCCAGGTGACCTTGAACAAGTTACTTTACCTTTGTGGCATTTAATTTACTCCTGTGCAAAATGAGGAGATGGGATGATATCTAACATTTCTTTTAGTTCTAAGTCCTTTGATTCTATGATCTGTGTATATGTGATTGAGTTGGAAATACATAATTCATAACATGATGTAGATATGCAGATATGTAAGAAATCCATATATGTGTATGTGTCACACACATCACACATATACATATATGTGCATGTGTATATATGTGTGTATATACATACATACATAAATATATACATGTATACACATATGAAAAAATTATGCTCTCCTGGAAGAAGACAGATGTGGTATAGTGTGACAGGACATGACTACTTGAGGATGTGGTACAATGGACAGAATGATAAATAGGAATGTAGAGGGAAAAAATGCTGGAGCTAAAATCAGGATGTTTCCTCTATACTGCTCACTGCTCTTCCCAGCAGAGCATGCACAATCTCATGAAATTTGCATCCTACTACTGGGGAGTCCCCATCTCAGTGCAGGTGGTATGATCTTGAGCCAAGTCACTCACCTATGTGACTCAGAGACCAAATGACTCAGAGAGGTATTCTGTCTTTGGTGACTCATTTGGTCTCCGATTAACCATTTCCTCATTTGTAAAGTTAGAACTGTAATACTTCTGCTATCTCCTCCAGAAAGTCATTGTGAGGTAAGTACTTTTTAAACTTCAAAGTGCTATATTAATTTGAGGGTTTTTTATAATGACAGTAACTCTGCTGTATTTAATCTTGGTTGCTCCCATAACCTAGCAAATAATAGGGTGTTATTGTTGTTCAGTCATTTCAGTCATATACAACTCTTCATGATCCATTTTGGGGTTTTCTTGGCAAAGATACTGGAGTGGTTTGCCATTTCTTTCTCCAGCTCATTTTATAGATGAGAAAACTGAGGCAAACAGGGTTAAGTGACTTGCCCAGGGTCACACAACTAGTAGGTGTCTGAGGCCAGCTTTGAACTTAAGAAGATGATCCTTCCTGAGTTTGGGCTTGGCACTCTATCCACTGTACTTAATAATTTAAAATAACATAATTTGAATTCTGATATCAGTTCTGCCACTAATTGTTAATGGAGCCCTAAGCAAACAAGCTACTTACCTGCTTTTTCTTAGCTTCCATTTTCTCATTTGTCAAATGATGGTCTTGGGCAGGTATGGGTGTGGGTATTGGTGTTGATGAAACAGAATTATTGAACACAATTCAATGTCTAAAAGGAAAATGTCTTACTTCCATCTATTCTAAGATTGAGCCATCTAAAAGGCTAAAATACCAAAGGAAAACAATTGTTTTAGCAATAAAAGATAAAAATATGTGTTTTTTTTTTCTTTTTGCTAAGACATTTCAGTTGTGTCTGACTGTGATCTTTTTGAGATTTTCTTGGCAAAGATACTGGCATGGCTTGCCATTTCCTTCTTCAGGTCATTTTACAGATGAGGAAACTGAGGCAAACAGGATTTAAATGACTTGCCCAGGGTCACATAGCTACTAAATGTCTGAAGCCAGATTTGAATTCAGAAGAATGAGTATCCCTGACTGCATGCTTAGTGCTCTCCCCACTGCGCTTCCTAGATGCTCAAAATAAAGATAGTTGAACCTATTCGGGAATCCCTCAAGAGTACTTCCTGAAAATGCCAAGCTGGTTTAGTTTGAGCTATAAATTTTAACAATGGTATTGCATGATCACCTATTTACCATTATTATGAGCAACTTAAAAACTGTGCATCTTTAAGAAAGGCAGGAGGTCAGAGCTTATAAGAGAACTTTTTTCAAATGAATATTTTTAAAAAGTGGTTTCTGAATCTTCTAAAGTTGCATTAAATCTTTCAGAGTATTAGGATGCCATTTGATAAACAAGTATTTCAGAGACTACAAGATGCTCTATTAACTTGCAAAAGTCAACAAGGCTTCCTTTAAGTGCTTAACTTTTCTTGCAGGAAGTAATCAACACATCAAGAAAATCTAGTGCCACATAATTTTTTTTTATAAAGTTCTGGCCACTTGGGCACCATTCCAGGCAATGAAGACACCATTCAAGGGCAATGAGGCAATTTCCTAAATGGGGTCTTGTAGTCCTTGAAAAGCCAGAACAGCTTCTGAAAAAGCCTAACGTTCTCAGGGAATAGCTTATTCCATCATGTGAATCTGACTCATTTGATGTCTTTTAACCAAGATAATAAGATGACAGAACTAGAGCTGAAAGGGGCCTTAAGTTCTATTGAGTCCGGATAATCCCCTCATTTTAGAAATGAGGAAACTGAGGCCCAAGGAGCTTAAGTGGCTTGCCCACATTCACATAGGAGTTCTTTAAAGCTTTGTGGTAGTAACCCTCTAAAAAAAAATCTATCCTGTTTTAACTCCAGAGTAGGAATATAGGAAGATCTAAAGCAGAAAATGAGTCAAGCTGACTGAAAGCCTCACAGGACATTAGTGCTGCTGGGCTCTTTAGAATAAAGGTACCCAGGTATCTATCCAAGCAATTACAGACTCTTTTTAGTACAAATAAATATTTTTTTCCTTTCGCTAGACACCTTTGTTACAGTGGTATGGAGGTAGAAAAAAATTTACGTTTAGTACCACATGGCTGAACCAGAACCAGGTCACAGCCTGGAACATTTGGTGACAGAAGGGGGCCAACTTTGTCTTTTTCTTTTCGTATTTCCTCTAAAGATACAGTGATTCTCAGGTTGCTGAGTTCTAGTTCTTGAGGGATGACTAAGCATGAAATGAAATCTCTGCTGGTTATTCTCACTCTCATGTTTTCAGATTTTCCCTTTCTTTTTTAGTGAAATCTATGACCAAGGCTGCATTTCAAATACTGTTCTCAGCTCAGTTGGCAGACCCCCTGGATAATGTTCAGAACTAGAAAAGCTGAATTCTTTTCATCGTTCAGCACCCTAACACGTATAGTTCTACAAAGACCTTGATGCAAAATTTGAAAATATTTGAGTGAAATTACATTTCTGTTCATTGATCTGGCTTCCCTGTAACCACAGCACAACATGGCTTTATGTATGATGTAATGTTTCCTTCTGCAAGTCTCTGTGAATGAGACTATGATCAGTGCATTACTGCAGAGTGCATGTTGCTTTTGAAGGCAGACACATGGTAGGGGTATCTTGGAAAAGGATTCAGGTAGGTATGAGGAAAACACTATACTTAGGGAAAAAAGAAAGCAAATAGAAGAAAAGTAACTATATCTGTGTAATTTCATAGACTATTCTATTACAATAGAATACTGAGCATAAATTAATTGCTGAATTAGAATATAAGCACATGATTTTCACCAAATTCTTTAAATTTGATGAGCCACTGGGAACCTGACTGGCTCTTCCTTCCTTTCTTCTTCCCTCCCTCCAACTCACTCTCTTTCTCCCTCCTTCCCTCCTTCCCTCTCCCCCCCCCCTGGATTTTTTGTTCCCAGAACATGGTAGAGTCATGCTCCCCCAAAGCTCCATCTAAGGAAGGGGGCCAACATTGTATTCTCCTGTTTCCCAACAGCTGCACTGATATTGGACTTCTTTGGACTTCTCCACCATGTCCTGTCTCTGGGCACCTTTTTTTGCACCTCTCTTTTTAAGCTTCTTTGTGTGTTTTCTTCCTCAATCAGATTGTAAGTTCCTTGATGGCAGAGTATATATTTCTTTTTATTCGTATTTGTATTTTCAGTGCTGAGCACAATGCCTGACATATAGTAAACACTTAATAAATTTTTATTGATTATTGACCTATTATACTTTGCACACTGCAATAGCATTTCATGGAAGCCAATTCGGTAATATACTAATTAGTAAAACATCATTTAAAAACTATTATGTATAGTACAGAAAACAAATCAACATTGTTAAATTATGCATATATTTCTATGTATACATAATATATATTTCTATATGTATTATACACACATATGCACACTGACAGATATAAAATCTCAGCATAGAAGTATATATATATATATACATGCATATGTACATAGATATGCATACTATATATATTCATATACTTCTTTTAAAAATGGTGTGGAACAAAGATTCACAATGTCTTACAAAATTCTCTTGTTCATTTTTGTATACTGAAATATCGGCGTTTGTTAAGGATTAAGTTCTTAACAAAACCATTATGATCATGTGCTAGAACATAGTAATCCAGACACTGGATAAGAGAACCAAAGTCCAAATATCTTTAGGAACAAAAAAAGGTTATGGATGTCTTTTGTTTTTAATACCACAGTCATGTCTCACTATAACCCTGCCACTGAAACATCTCTTAACAAAGGAAACATTACATAGGACCAATCAATACAATAATCTTGTTGTACAGTATATACAACATTCTATATTCATAGCCTCATACCTCTTTATAAACTAAAAATTTCTTTCATTAAATATGCAAAAGCAAATTACTTTTTTTCCTTAAAAAAAAAGCTCTCAAACTGGTATAGATGGAGGAATATCAAAGGTCAGATTTCATAGCCGTACTACCTGTTTTAAATTCTGGCAATAGGAATTTTCCCTTAGAATATAATGTCCATGATGATCTGCGGACATGCGGTCTTTTCTAATAGAATCATTTCCTGTTTGTTACTTGAAACCTATTATGTCCTTAGGCAAATCATTAACCTATCTGGATGTCAGGCTTCCCAACTTTAAAATGAGATTGGATGGGCATCCAGGTGGTGCAGTGGATGGAGCACTGGCCTTGGAGTCAGGAGGACCTGAGTTCAAATCCAGCCTCAGTCACATAACACTCACTAGTTGTGTGACTGGGGAAGTCACTTAACCCCAATTCCCCCCCAACCAAAAAAAATGGGATTGGACTCTGTGATCTTTAATATCACATACAGCACTGATACTCTATCATCTTTGGTCTTTAGTTTTTTCAGTGTGGAACATGATCCCAAAGAGAGGGACTTTCCTGAGCTAACTTAATTGATTTTTTGCAAACACATAGTGGAATTGAATAACATGTGTCCTAGAATACCAAGAATGTGTTAATGGATCTCCATGCCTTCCCAATAAGAGTTGGACTAAGTACAAATGTAAATTATGGGGAAATATTTCTTTACCATCAATCTCCAATGCAGACAGGCACTGAAAAATGTAGAGAATAGCTCTCTGTACAGCCACTATTCCTGTGTAGAGTTGCTGACAGGATGTGCAGTAGGAATAAAACACAAGGAGCAACAAAAGTTGTTTCACTCAGTGTTACACATGTGAATTCCGGTGGTAAGTTTTTTGATGGATCAGTGAAAATATACTACAAGTGTTGTGTCAAAAGACATAGTCATGGTAAGGTAAAAAGCAATGTAATTAAAATAAATAGAAAAAAAATTGGAGAGAGTGAATCAAAAAGTTCTTGATTGTAGAGCTTACATGTTAACCACAACATTTTACCACTGTCTTTTTTTTTTAATTTTGGTGCAATAATGAAAAAAATGCTCACCTATCAAAAGTGATCTTGATTGAATGTCCTGGTTTTGCTTCAATGACCCATTCACAATTTAAAGAGTCTTTATAATATCCTGGCCATCCTGGTGGTAAAATAACCCCACTGGATGCTGTCAAATGTCCACCACATGGTGCTAAAAGTCCATAGAAAGGACAAAATTCAGTTAAGAGGATTAAAAAAAAGCCAAGTTCAATGAGTAACAAATGGATGATAATTAATAAGTACAAATAACTATCAGATGTCACTTTCTTTAAATGTCTAATTTACTATAGTTTAATAAATAGAATAAAAATTTGCCTTAATTGTACTATATGTTTCCTGATGGTCAATAAAGCTTTTCATAATTCTTTGTGTACCTTATGGTAACTAAAATGATTCTGGGTATTCAGTAGGTATTTTAAAATAGTTCTCAATTGGTTATTATACAGTAAATTATCTTATGGATTATTTTACTGTTCTATGCATGCTACACTGGAAATGTAGTACATATGTACAGATATGTGAAAAATTGGGTTTCTTCATTACTTGAAAAGAATTCCTGAACACTGGAATTTGTCAGATAATTTGTATGATAGCTATTAAAAGTTTGAAAACAAACTAAATCTTTTTTTAAACAAGTTTCACAAAAGCTTAATTCCACAAAGCAGAAAAAAAAAAAAACTAAGGAGCAGAGCAACAGACACTTAATTCAAACCTGTCTTCAGAAGAACGATTCTTATGTAGTAGTTTTTCAAATTAAAGAAGACTGTTTTAGGATGGAAGGCAATACATTTATATTTTATTAGAAAGAAAATTAACTTTCAAGCACACATCTGATAGCTTTTGTTCTAATTCAGAATGTGTTACTTCCAAAACAACAGTTTTCATTTTCAGTTTATGTCTATTTTCTTTCATTTAAGTCAAATGACATTTTATAAAGACAGCTCGATGTAATAGAGCATGAGTGCAAATAGGGAAAATCTGGGCTTAAATTCCAATTCAGCTACTTGCTGGTTGCACAAGTCAGGGAAAGCCATATGCCACTCAGATTCACTTTTCCTAGCTCCTTAAAGTTGAGGAAGTGTAAAAAAGCAGATAATAATAGCTATAGCACTTACCTCACAGAATTCTCATGAGGATTAAAGGAGATAATGTATGTAAAGGACTTAGCAAACCTTAAGCTATATAAATAGGACTGTTAGCATTACTCTAGTTTTAAAATGGTCAACTCCTCCTTTGATGAAGGAAATTTCTTGGAGCAAGTAACTGTATCATAGGCAAAGACTGTGACAGAGTGATAAACTAATGTTTAGAGGTTTTTCTAATTTGGTATTTGAATTCACATTTAGTTTAATCATAATTTTGCATAGGTCAGCTCTGCAGAGACCCCCCCACACACACATATATTTCTTGAAGACAGTTACAATCATCTAAAGCAGATGGTCTTAGCCTTTTTGTGTCATGAACACTTTCAGCAGTTTGGTGAAATCTGCTGACCCTTTCTCAGAATAATGTTTTTAAAAGTATAAAATAAAATTTATAAGATTACAAAGGAAACCAGGTATATTGAAATACAATTGTCCATCCATCCATCCATCCATCTATCTATCTATCTATCTATCTATCTATCTATCTACCTATCTATCTATCTATCTATCCACTCTTTTTTTTTTTTAATTCACAGGACCCAGGTTAGGAGCCCATTATTTAAATACTCAGAGACAGCACAATTTTCAGATGTCAAGTTGATTTTTAAAAATTTAATTCTGAGCCTATAAAATGAAACTTTTGAGCTTACCTTTTGTATTTTAATTAAATAACAGTGGGAAAAGCCCATTTGTGAACACCAAAGGAAATAAATACTTTGGATATGGCCTCATTGAAAAAAGGTAATATTTGTACTTTCAAAACACCTAATTCTTTCCCAGAATTTAAAGACACTAAATTTATAATAGCTGGCTGTTCGAAATAAAATATAGTATTTTATAATGTAAAGGCTATCTCCATCTCCATGAGACTGGAACTTTTAAACAATACATTTTAATTCTGTAATATTTTTTTCATCAAAGCAAATGCTTTCATATAGGATTTTATAGACATAACAAAGAACTTCTTAAGGGTTATTACAATCAGGGCCATAACATTGAAACCATCATACCTTAGAATATTCCTAGGGGGTAAAGTGGGGAAGTAGAAGTTGCCTGGAAGAGCCTTTTTGATGTATGTTCTAGGGACACACACCTTTCTAACTGAAGGTTTGAAAAAAAAATGTATTTATTTGGAGCATATTTAAATCTTCCTTTTAAAGCTCTTTTCTACTCTATTTCAGAAGCATAGGCACATAGGCACTAAATGATAGTAGAAAGCTAAAAAGAAAGTGGCTAGAGAAATATTTTGTTTTTGGGATTGAATCTTTAGGTAAATCCTCTAGTAGTGTTAAGAAACACTCAAATTATTGACTAAAAACAATTGAGAAGCATTATTACTAAAGTTCTGTGCTTCCTGTTTCAGAGGAATTCAGACTGACCAGAACCTGAATCTACCAAAAGTAGAAAAGATATACCTACCTTCACAACGTGGAACAGTAGAGCTCCAAACCACATTTCCATCCTGCATGATGCAGGTTATGGACTCTGATCCTTGAGTTTTGACAAAACCATCATCACAATGGAAAGAAACAGAACTTCCTAAGAGAAATCGATCTCCAAAACGCCTTCCATTTATAGGAATGCCAGGGTCATGGCATTCATTCTGACCAAATGCTAAGTGGAAAGGGAAAAATATAATTAATTAAGCTTTTAAAAAAATCTTCAAATAAAATTAGTTTTTGATAGTTAAATATGAATTTCTATTTATAGTAGAAATGTATGATTTCATCAATATGATGAGCTCTTTGTCTGAAAATGCCTCTTATCATACACACCTGGAACTTTCTGTAATGTAAAAAGTCTTTGAAAGTTTCCTGGAACACTGAGAAATTAATTGACTTCCCATGGTCACACAGACAGCATGTGTCAGAATCAAGACCTAACCTGTTTCTTCCTAACTCCAAGGCAGGTCCTCAATCCATTGTGCTATACTCTATTTAGTTAAATTGACTGAAGATTCTACACACACACACACACACACACACACACAACACACACACACTCTCTCACATGTATTTGTGTGTATGTGTATAGAATCTTCACAGTCAGAATTACTACATATATTTCTTTACTTTGAATAAGTGAATGAAAGAATGAATTGTTTTTCAAAGTTCAATACTTATTTTTTGCCAGGCACCATGCTAGGTCCTTTGGCTCATTCAGTCAAACTGGTTAACTATTATTCCCTGATCTTTTCATGTCTTCTTTTTCCTCTGTTCGTTTATTCCTTCTTATATGTGCGCAGTGAAATTTCTTCTTCCTTCAAGGGCAAGCTCAGGTGACATTTTCTCTATAAAGCCACCCCTGAATCTCACAACTTGAAAATGATTTTCCCTTCTCATTTTTTTCTCCTTCAGTGTTTTGTACTTCTTTGTCTCTATTTGCATTCCACCCTGTAGAATACTTGTATGTGCCAATGCCATATTGCCCTTTATAAGCTCCTTCTGAGCTGTATAATTTTTCATCTTTGCACCTCTGCTACATAATACAGTATCTTGCACATAATAGACATTAAATGAATGATGTCAAAATTAAAAGCAGCCATGGTTGCACTGTTATTTTCCCCTGAGATGTCATCCTCGAACTTCAGTGACTGTTGATGACATAAGAAGAATATAGAGCAACTACCCGTTTTGAAGTACTTACTAGTGTAAGTGATATTGAAACCTCTCCCTGTTGTAGAATGATCTGATTGAAACTCCAAGCGTACAATGTGACCACTGCTGGCCAACTGGGAAGGTACTTCATTTCCAGAAAAAGTGCCGAGAACTGATACATCAGACATCCCATCATCTTTGACAGCAAGGAAATCAAACTGAGGCTCGACATCAAAGTCATTAAAAATGAGATGAATTCTACTTCCTGGCTCAGATATAATCAGCCAAATACAATTCATATTGTTGCCATACTCCTCAGGATAGTTTGGTGAAAGAATAATACCCGATGGGGTAGTAAAATTGAAGAAACAAGAAACTGTAAAAAATAACAAACACAAAAACATTCTCAAACTTTAATTTGTACATATTCCCCCCCACTGCCCACTCTAAAACAGATCACTAAGAAATGAAAAAGATGATGTAGAATTACCAAGGGGTCCTGGTTTTAATGTGATTGTTTTAGGACTTGAATTGGTAATTTCTAGCTATGCAATGTCTACCTTTTCATGAATTTATAAAATGCCTTTTCATTGTCTTCTTATATTGCACAATAATAGCAACTACGACTTACCTTAAGATTGGAAAATCTGAGTAGACTGGACCACACGTAAAATAGCTTTTGACAGCTAATATTAATGTAATTTCTAAGCATATATATATCCTAGCTTAAGAAGACTGAAGTGACCACATAAAAGCTGATTTTGTGTATACAGGGAGAAATGATAAAATTCAATACTGAATCAAATCGGTCCTTTATATTTCTGCACCTTTCTTCTATGATAATTATTAGTCCACTGGTCCAAATGCAGGGATTTATGCTATATTCTAGGACATTGTAGGACAGCCTACAATGCAGTGTCTTTAAATAAAACCTGAGTGGGGTGATGGAAGATTTGCTTATGTGTCTATAAATTAGATTTCCATTAGTATAGGGAACTCTCAGATGAGGAAACTATCTCTCATTGTAGATTGGCATCTTTACAAAAACTTAGAGTCTTAGAAAGTTGTCTAGAGAATGAAAGGTTAAATGACTTGCCCAGGATCACAAAGTCACTATATGTCAGCATGCACACACAATACATATGTTTATACATATTAATGTATAAATACATATATCTCTGTATTTCCATATAAATAGTCATACACTAAAAAAGTACACCAATTATGGATGGATAGGTAGAGAAATAGATAAGTGGATTTTTAAGTACTAACTACATACCTGACACTTACCAACCTAATACCTAGGTTTTATTTATCATTTTAGAAAAATAGAGAACTATGACCTATATTTATATGAAAACCATATAATTTTTGCTAAAAATGTTTTCTTTAAGGTGTTTAAACAGAGCATACCGATGAAAACTGATTAGGAGGGGCAGCATTGTAGAGTGGAAAGATATCTGTTCTTTGAGTTAGGAAGATTAAGTCCTACGCTGACACATGTGTAAGTCACTGAAAATCTGCAAGGCTATGAGACGGAGAGACTAAAACCCATCTACATCAGCAGGAAAAGTTTTCACAATAGGAGTTCCCTAAAAATATGACATCACAGTTTTGGACCACTTCTTTCTGAGAGAAACAGAGGGAGGGAAAAGGAGAGAAGAAAGAAATTCCAATACAAATACAAAATTGTCTTATTGAATACTAGAATATCTAGAATAGAAATTAAAAGAAAAACATTGTGGAGAAAAAACAGTTTTTCAGGATTTCTTTGTTTTTAGATAAAAATATCATTTTTAATGAATAACATTTAATTTTTCTCCTCATTGTCTGTACTTGTCATATTGATATATTTTTAATTAATATATTTTGTTACAAAATAATCCCCAAACTGTTATCTGCCTTTAAATATGACATTCAATTTATTCTTTTTAGTTGTTAGCATATTTTTGTCACAGGGTTTTGAGTTAGGAGAGATCTTAGAGAAGGGATTCTTAACCAGAGTTCCATGAATTTATTTTTTAAAAATATATTTTGATAACTATATTTCAATAGAATTGATTTCCTTTGTAATGCTATGTATTTTGTTTCATGTATTTAAAAACTCCTTTTTTTTTTTCTGAGAAGGGATCCATAGGTTTCACCTGATTATCCAAGAAGTTCGTGACACAAAACACATGACACTAACTTGGAGATTCTGTACTTCTTGCTGTTCAGCTGTTTCAGCAGTGTCTGGCTCTTTTTGACACCATTTGGGATTTTCTTGGCAAACATACTAGAGTGGTTTGCCATTTCCTTTCCATCTCATTTTACAGATGAGGAAACGGAGGCAATCAGAGTTAAGTGACTTGCCCCCAGTCATACAGATAGCATCTGAGGCCAGATCTGAATTTAGTTCTTCTTGATTCCAGGCCTGGCATTTTATCTACTGTGCCACCAAACTCTTCCAAAAGAAGAAAACTGAAGCATAGAAGGTGAAAATAACTAGCCTAAAGTCACGTAAGTGAAGCAGCTAGGTGATGCAAGGATAGAGGATTAGATCTGTAGGCATAAAGACCTCGGTTCAAATCTAGATATTTCCTGGTTTTCTGACTTGGGGCAAGTCACTTAACCTGGGTCTGCCTCAGTTTCCTGAGCTGTAAAGTAGGGATAATAATAGTACTTACCTTGTAAAGTTATTGTGAGGACAAAATAAAATATTTGCAAAGTGCTTCGCAAATCTTAAAATTCTAAATAAATGCTACGTATTATTAATATAGGTAGCAGTGAACCAAACCCAACTAACTTGTCTGTTTCCAAAGCCAGTGCTCTTTCTAGTACGTCATGCTATCTATTTTTTCTTATCAGAAATCAATTTTGTCCTTGAGCATTAATTTTACTATTGAAACTTATCTTACCAATCATTCGTTATCAGAGATCTCAATGTTGAACATCATTGAGCTATGTATTTTAAAGACATCCTCCAAATAATTATGGCTGGTAGTCACATGATCAGAATCATTTAATGGTTATTGCTACCACATTAAAAAGTCCAAAACTATGATTTCATCAGTGAAGGGCCCTGCCAGTGGGGAGCCTCTTTCATAACTTAAAGTCTTAGAGACTTTTGAAGGATCATTGATAGGTTAAGTGATACACCCATGTTAGTATGGACTAGAGCAAAGCTAGCATGGATCAGGTCAGATCTGAGCCCATGTTTTTCTGACTCTAAGCTCTAACTCTCTGTCTGTATCATACTGCCTATCATGCTGGAATATTTTCTGTTTGGAACAGGTTCATGATAAGCTTTTTAATCCAATATATATTTACATCAAAACTATTATTTTGTTTTAATTATGGATAGAAATCAGGATAATAAAAATTTTAAAAGAACCCCAACTGGTGATTCTTCAGATTATGGATTTAGAGATGGAAAGAATGTCCAGAGGCCATGTAGTCCAGAAACCTCACTTCATAGATGGGGAACAGAAGCATGTTGGGGTTATAAGACTTGCCCAAGGTCACAAAGCTAAGTGAGAGAAGAATCTGAACCCAGGTCTTCTGAATCCAGAGCCAGTCTCTTTCCATTTTACAAAGCTAAACATGTGGAAAAGTCATAGTCATTAAAATGGTTTTCAACTCCTGTAATGATACTTTCGTGATGGCGGGTGGGTGAAGTTAGGGGGAGGAGAAACATATTTCTGGGCAAAGGAAGTTGAACAGAATGAGCAAAGTCAGGTTCAAAGACCAATACTTACAAACACAGCTGGGTTTGTTGCCAGACCACTGGTTATTCTGTTGACATGTGATAACTCTCTCTCCCACCAATTCAAAAGCTGCCTGACATTCAAAAGTAAGAGTATCTCCATGTAGGAAACTATTGCCAGTTCTTTTCCCATAAGACGGAATTCCAGGATCACCACATCCTCCCTTATCAATCTCTGAAAACAAGATGTGCAAAAAAAAAAAAGATGAAATATCTGCAGTCCCTGAATATTTCTTAGTATCATACTTTTGAGAGTAGGAAACTGATTTAACTTTAGCACTTGAAAACCCATTTATGTAAGAAGTACCAAAAGTATATGCAATTTGTTAAAAAGCTAACATCTTCAATTAAGCTAGACAGAGAGACAAGCACAATTTAAAACTTTAGGGAAAAAGTTATTACACAATTTGCTTTGTCTGTTCTTTTATAAAAGATTATAAATGGCTATATGAATGTTATTTCAAAGCAAGTTAAAATTGATAAATTCATTCAAATTCAGCATACTTTCTGCATGCATATTCATTTTGTTAATACTAAAATGTAAATATTTTTATACTTATGTGTTTTAGAGATCACAAGCCACACACAAAGAAGCTTATCCACTGTGTGCTTAATGTTTCAACTGAATAAGTTTCTTCTTGTTAAAACTTAAAAAAACAAAGTGATTATAATTATTTTCTTCAGATCAAGATACAATAAAGAGAAACAAAATTCTACTCATTAAAATATGATTATAAACAAATTCAGTTCAACAAACATTTAAAAATATTTATTACATCTCAGACTCTGTACTTGATGCTGGGTATAGACGAACAAAAAAGCAACCAAACCAGACTGTAAGAAGCTTATATTTTACTGGGGGTTGGGGTGAGGGTGTGAGAGAAATATTACATACACATAGATAAACAGACAAAAGGTACTTTGAGGAGAGTCTACTAAAAGTGAGGAGGGTTTGAAATATCTTCCTATATGAAGCAAAACCAGAAATTAACCTTGAAGATACTAGGGGATACCAAGAGTCTCAGACAATGGGGGAATACATTTGATACATAAGGTACGGTCTATCTAAAACAAAGAAGCACCATATATTCAGTCAGTTTTGGAGAGTTACCAGTAGGCCAGTTTGTCATGAACATGAATTGAATTTTTGGGAATAATCTGAAGTAAAGTTGGAAAAGTAGTTGAAAGCCAGAGAGAAGAGGGTCAGGCTTAGGATTTTGTATTCTTTTATAGGAGCAACAGGAAGTTACTAATGATTTTGAGCAGGAAAATAACAAAGACAAACTTGTAAATATGGGCAAAAATTAAACCTAGTTATAATAAATGCAATAGAGGATAATAAAAGGATTATCTGCTGATAATTACATTCAGTCTGATCTGCTGATTGGGAGATTTCTTCATGTTCAAGGCTCCAATCTTGGGCTCTCTGGTTAAGAACACACATGATCAGAGGTTCCTGGTTGAACCCCTTCCCCCCCAAAAAAAAATGAACACTAGGGACAATGTCAAAGATGATTAGCAACACAGAAGCAAAAGAGACCCACTCAGTAGCTTTTAGAGGGAGAAACAGCTTCTGTTTCTATCCTTCCTCTCTTTTAAATATATAGCTTCTAATTCTGATATATTTTCCTTGGACTTTCTGATGGAGGTAGAGAAAGAGGGTATTTTTCTCCCCCCCCGCCATTTCACACTCTCTCTCTCTCTCTCTCTCTCTCTCTCTCTCTCTCTCTCTCTCTCTCTCTCTCTCTCTCTCTCTCTCTCTCTCATAGTAACCTATAAATGACAATGAATAGGTGAACCAGAGACTGGATCTCAAGACTCTAGCTCCTTTTTTTGATTTGTGCCTCTTTCCTTTCGCATGGGTTACCAGATAACACTCCTAAGACATATGTTTCTCTCTTTGGTGGAGGTGATGACATGGAAAAGAAGATAAGCCTTACCAGGAGAATGAGCCATGTATATCAGATACTCTAGGTATGTCATTTTAGTTGCTGTTCAGACAGTAAAGACTGAGATGAAAACGATATATCTGTCGAACAATCCTACAAACCTCCAATCTTCTTTCCAGAAGAAAATAACAGGAAGAATATTTCATATCTTGAATATCTGTTAATGCATGTGTAATAGGGGGTTGAAAACCAATTGGCATCCTGGGATTTGTAGATCAGAGAGAAAAGTGTTCCCTTTTAGCCCTGAGAAAGATTTAGGACTAACATAATTTTTGAACTGGAAGGTAGATTTGAGTCGTATCTGAGAATTCATAAAGTAATTAATGCACCATTAGTCTACGACAGACTGAGATGAAAGCTACTGGCCAGAAACTTAGATCAGAAGACTCCAGCTAAAGCTACTCACTGGTTCCATTCATCTCTTCAAGGACTGAAGGAAGTTCCTAAACAAAGGTCTGGGTTTTTTCCCCTACTTTCCCTCCCCCTCCCAGTAACATTGGAAGTACCTCTCCCTCTGAATGGATGGCTCCCCCTAGAATGTCTGTTTAAGGAGGACACCTAAGCCAGTCTGAAATTTCTCTATCACATCCTCAAAATGTGTACTCTTCTGTCTACCCTTCCCCCTATTTGTCATCTTCTTTTCTATATTACTTTCACCATTAGAATTGAGCTCCTTGAGAGTAAATATTGTCTTTATTTTTATTTGTATTTGTGTTGACAGGGTCTAGCACAGTATTTGGCACATAACAAGCACTTAATAAATGTTTGTTGTTTGTTAGGCCAAGTCAATAAGAATTAACCATGTGCCAGGCACTTGTAAAATAAAGAAAAGGTACTACAATATAGTCTGATCAAAACCAAAAGTGTATTTTACATAAATTTACATACCTTCAGTATTGCTATTTTTATTATATTATGAACAGTTCATCTGATATTATATTACAATCCATTAGTTTGTAAGCTCCTTGAGAGCAGGGCCTCCCTTTTGCCTCTTTTATTATTTGAAGTGCTTAGAACAGTGCCCAGAACATAGTAAGTTCTTAATAAATGTTCATTCATTATTGATATAAACTTTGTGAAGGGGACCAGGTGAACTTGAGAGCCATTGTTGACTGTATGTTAAAAACAAACTGGCTGTTGTAATGAAGTATGGCTAAATAAATCTCCAGGGCCTAAGTGGAGTAGGGATATGGTTCACAAAAAGATCATGCCCTAATTCATCATTCCCAGGAAGGAGATGGAAATGACTTGGAAAGGATTAATTTTATCCTATCCAGGAGGGAGGGGAGGAGAGAGACTAGAAAAGATCTAGGTACATTACTCAGTGCTATATTTATGTTGCCACCTAATTATATTATATATGATTATGAGCACTTAGTGTTTTAAGCATTTCTTTTGTGCAGAAAGCAAATGCTTCCCCAAACATGATATCTCCTACTTTGCATGTGGAGTAACATTTCCATGAAGCCCTATTAATTCATTTTAGGGAGACCCTATCCATGACTCAATGCTTAGTTTCAATTAAAATATTTTCTCTGGGGTTCTACTCTAAGGTAGGGGTATAATGAGCTAGAGAGTAGATGAAAAGATTGAACTACTTTTGTTAGGTTAAGGTCAGATTTCTCCATGAGTTGCCTTTCTAAAACTATTCCTTTATCTAAATGAGTTACTAAATTATGCATTAAATTCCTTTGTACAGATACCTTCAAAGGACATTTTTTTGATTGATATCTATTTTTTTCATGAGCTTATAATTCATAATCTTGTAGACAACAGGGTCATGATCAAGTTAACATTGGTACTGACAGCCTAGTTTCCAACAATTACTATTATTACACAATGGTGATATTTATATAACATTCTGAAATTTGTAAAGTTTTTTACATAACTATTTTATTAATATCTCAAAATGTACTTGTGAAGTAGATGTGAGTATTATCATTTGATCATTCAGTAATTTTTTCACTCATGTCTAACTCTTCATGACCCCATTTTCAGGTTTACTTGGCAAAGATACCGGAGTGGTTTGCTATTTTTTTCTCTAGCTCATTTTACAGATGAGGAAAATGAGGCAAACAGGATCACACATCTAGTAAGTTTCTGAAGCCAGATTTGAACTCAGGAAGATGAGTCTTTCTGACTCCAAGCCTGTCACTCTATCCACTGCAACACTTAACACCCCTGTATTATCATTTACAGGTAAGCAAATTGAGGCTCAGAGAGGAAAAGTGATTTCATTGTGGTCAAATGATTTATAAATGGCAAAGGTTAGATTTAAATCCATAACTTTTTGGACTTTTAAGACATTTATATAAAAAGTTAGCTAGGTGTTACAGTGGATAGAGACCTAGACCTGGAGTAAGGACGCACCTGATTCAAATCTGGTCTCAGACACTTAGAAGCTGTGTAACTCTGAGCAAGTCACTTAACTTCTGTCTGCCAGTTTTCTCATTTGTAAAAGAAAGATAATAATAATACTCACCTCCCAGGGTAGTTGGGATAAAATGAGATATTATTTTTAAAGCTCTCTGCAAACTTTAAGCACAATATACATTCAGCTATTATTATTTCATACTAAACTTCTTTACCAACTCTTCATTCTTGCCAAAGTAGTCTTCTAAATCTTCCCTCAAACTGTACATCTCTTACCTGACTGCCTTTGCACAGTTTGCCTCCATCCATACTTTTTCCTCACTGCCTCTTGGAATCCCTATATTCTTTCTAATTTGATGGCACATGTGCTATTTCTATATTTAAAATTTTTTTTTGCTCAGAAATTTTTAAGAAATGGATTAAATGTTTTACCTGCCTAGATGTAAGTAAAGTGACTGGGTTATTTCTCTCGGGTCCATGGAGGAGTAGTTGGGGGAAAGGGAAGGAGCAGTTTTGCCTTACCTGAAAACAAAACTCCTATTAGATCTCATAAGACCCTGATAAAAACTGAGAAGCATTAAATAACTTATAGTTAGCAGCCATTAATACAATGCCTTCACTATTTCATGTTTTGATACTGGACTGAGAAAAGGAATATGACCAGTTTCCAAGGTAAGTGTGGATAGAGATGCGTGGCTTTGGAAATGTCAACAATAATCAATAAACATTGATTAAGTTCCCACAACGTGCCAGGCACTCTACCTAGGAATATAAAAAAGATGACAGAGATAGTACCTATTCTCAAGGAGCTTATACCCTAAAAGGGAAGACACCCTGCAACCAAATATATACT